TAAGCCGTGGGAATGTAATAACCTTGATCTCTGTTGATTGCCGGGTTGATTGATGACCCTTCAGGCGTTGTCTACCACATTCAATGCGACTGTGGTGACTCATACATAGGAGAAACGTGCCGCCCTTATATAAATGTGGATCCCGGCACACACACACAACCAAGGTAATACCATAGCAGATGCTGCGGCCAAACTAGCCACCACTGAAACCTCTCCAACCATTAACTTCCACACATCTAACACAGAAACCAAACAACTCATTAAATCACACACACTCAACCAAACCTACCAACACAACATCAACACAAACAAATCCACCTGGGTCAAATCCATCATAACAAAACCTATCAGCAAAACCCCTACCTCCTCAAACAACAAACACACAGATATACTGTATATGAAGCTCTTTGTGATTTCAAACAAGCCGGGTTGTTGTGAATGAGATGATTGTGTGTTAGTGACTATTCGCTTCATGATGTACTGGTGAATAAAATCTTAATGAATAAATAAAATACTGCTGCATTATTTCTTTCCGAGTCGTTTCACGGTAATCTGTTTTGTATCAAACCATGTCATGTGACCAATTTCCATGGCGGCCACAACACACATTGCTGTTTTCGCTAATTCGGCAATGGGATTTGGCTCATTATTTAATTATGTTTTGGGAAATCCATTACAGCGACAGTTAAGTATAATCAGTCGTCATTTTAAGATTCCCGTTGATTTCTGTCTTCAAACGTGATGTGTTATGGTAACAACTCAGGGGCGAGCGTGGCTAGACTGAATGAATGACAGGTTTATTCGCGGTGTATAAATTTTCACGCTAAAATGTTTTGCGCGAAAAGAGCGAAAATAAAACCTGCGCGAAATATAATACGTTTACAGTACTCATCACGAGATTAATCACCGCCATCACCAACCTATACCATCCACTACATAAACAAAACAGACACCCAGAGGGACTATGCACACACAGCAAACTACCCGAAACAATTGAACATATATTTACACACTGCCACCTGCAACAAACAAACATCAATCAGTTACACAACTCCATACCTAGCAAATTCCACAACAACATTCACCTTTTACCCAACCCACACAACCCACCCAACCCACCCAACATATTCAACGCTATATCTACTTTCCTCACAAACTCCAACTTAATGGGTAAAAATTAGACCATCCCAAACAAATTCTATACAAATTTAAACAAATTTATCACCTCTCCCCTCACTGTTTAGGCAAGGGATCCAAATTCACATTCCCCAGCGTGGCCGTCCGTCGTCAGCTCGCCCCTTCCTAACATTTCGATCCGGTTTCTCTCCCCCACACAATAGCAACCACGCTCAACCCACCTAACACACAGCCACTACTTCAACCATAGCCATGACATAACACCCCTCTCCTTAACCCATACCTAACAGTACACTACCGCTCTCAGCTCATACTTCCACCATAGCCATGACATAACACCCCTCTCCTTAACCCATACCTAACAGTACACTACCGCTCTCAGCTCATACTTCCACCATAGCCATGACATAACACCCTTCTCCTTAACCCATACCTAACAGTACACTAGCGCTCTCAGCTCATACTTCCACCATAGCCGGGGCGGTGGGGTAGCCTAGTGGTTAAAGCGTTGGCTCGTCACGACGAAGGCCCGGGTTCGATTCCCCACATGGGCACAATGTGTTAAGCCCATTTCTGGTGTCCCCCGCCGTGATATTGCTGGAATATTGCTAAAAGCAGCGTAAAACTAAACTCAGTCAGTCAGTCAGTCCACCATAGCCATGACATAACACCCTTCTCCTTAACCCATACCTAACAGTACACTACCGCTCTCAGCTTATACTTCCACCATAGCCATGACATAACACCCTTTTCCTTAACCCATACATCACAGTACACTACCGCTCTCAGCTCATACTTCCACCATAGCCATGACATAACACCCTTCTCCTTAACCCATACCTAACAGTACACTACCGCTCTCAGCTCATACATAGCCATGCTTCAACCATAGCCATGACAACGGTACACTCGGCTCATAGCTCATATCCACCATAGCCATGACATAACTGCCCTTTTCCTTAACCCATACCTAACAGTACACTACCACTCAGCTCATACTTCCACCATAGCCATGACATAACACCCTCTCCTTAACCCATACCTAACAGTACACTACCGCTCTCAGCTCATACTTCCACCATAGCCATGACATAACACCCCTCTCCTTAACCCATACCACACAGTACACTACCGCTCTCAGCTCATACTTCCACCATAGCCATGACATAACACCCCTCTCCTTAACCCATACCTCACAGTACACTACCGCTCTCAGCTCATACTTCCACCATAGCCATGACATAACACCCCTCTCCTTCGCATACCTCACAGTACACTACCTCTCAGCTCATACTTCCACCATAGCCATGACATAACACCCTTTTCCTTAACCCATACATAACAGTACACTACCGCTCTCAGCTCATACTTCCACCATAGCCATGACATAACACCCTTCTCCTTAACCCATACCTAACGGTACACTACTACTCTCGAGCTCATGCTTCCACCATAGCCATGACATAACACCTTCTCCTTAACCCATACATAACAGTACACTACCGGCTCTCAGCTCATGCCTTCCACCATAGCCATGACACCTTACACCCTTCTCCTTAACCCATACCTAACAGTACACTACCGCTCTCAGCTCATACTTCCACCATAGCCATGACATAACACCCTTCTCCTTAACCCATACCTAACAGTACACTACCAGCTCTCAGCTCATACTTCCACCATAGCCATGACATAACACCTCTCCTTAACCCATACCTAACAGTACACTACCGCTCTCAGCTCATACTTCCACCATAGCCATGACATAACACCCCTCTCCTTAACCCATACCTAACAGTACACTACCGCTCTCAGCTCATACTTCCACCATAGCCATGACATAACACCCTTCTCCTTAACCCATACCTAACAGTACACTACCACTCTCAGCTCATACTTCCACCATAGCCATGACATAACACCCTTCTCCTTAACCCATACCTAACAGTACACTACCGCTCTCAGCTCATACTTCCACCATAGCCATGACATAACACCCCTCTCCTTAACCCATACCCCACAGTACACTATCGCTCTCAGCTCATACTTCCACCATAGTCATGACATAACACCCCTCTCCTTAACCCATACCTAACAGTACACTACCGCTCTCAGCTCATACTTCAACCTAGCATTTACAAACAGCCCTCCCCCCCCCACCCCTAAGTCAACCACACTCATCCCCCACACCCTTATACCCTTATCTAACCAATAAACCTACTATCTTATACCTACCATAATACAGCCACCCCAGCCACCCCAGGCAAAACCCTTACCGCCTTCAGTGCTCCTTATTTTGCTATATTTTTATAAACGTTTTATTTAAAATTCAGGTTAGTTTAAAGCTCCTACATTTACATTTTTTGGGTACGGTGGTTTATTCCTTATAAATACATTATTAATTAATCTAAAACCCCACCTACACCGCCGGCGACATTGGCTAGGAGAGAGTGAGTGATTGAGTTTAGTTTTACGCCGCACTCAGCAATATTCCAGCTATATCGCGGCGGTCTGTAAATAATCGAGTCTGGACGAGACAATCCAGTGATCAACAGCATGAGCATAGATCTGCGCAGTTGGGAACCGATGACATGTGCCAACCAAGTCAGCGAACCTGACCACCCGATCCCGTTAGTCGCCTCTTACGACAAGCATAGTCGCCGTTGTGGCAAGCATGGGTTGCTGAAGACCTATTCTACCCCGGATATTCACGGGTCCATTGGCTAGGCTAAAAGCCAACGTTAAACCTATAATTTCGTTCGTGTTGTGTATCATTTGCTTGATAACGGTGTTAGGATCTACACCGAAACGTCGCAACTACTACTGCAACAAAGAAGTTGTCTATCCATAAATAGTGTTCCACTTCATCATACCAGCTTCTAAATGCCACTTAAGGAAGAAATGTTGTACAAAATCCATTGTAGAAACAAACAAAAAGATAAACACCCACCCCACCAAAAACATAAAATATAGAACAACGATATAATGCTCTTCTTTTAGTGGCCCCCACCCAGAGTTGGTTCCATTATCACAGCATCTGTTGCTACGATAACAAATAACAAGCAGACGCAACTGTTATGACAAGTAACCGACATTACCATGGCAAAAAGCAACTGCCCGCTACCATGACCATAGTAACCACAGTGAGGCAGAGTGAATATTGCTTACTTGGCAGCAACAGTAAATGTAATAGCAACTGTTACCATGACAGCAAGTAAGTATCGATGCAACAACATATATTGCAATTGCAACAATTAACCACTATTGTTCTGATAAACACACCAATTCAATGTGATAATTGTATTGTATACTATTAACTGCACTATATCACTGTAACCATGACTGCAGTCCACTATTGATCTACGCGGCTGCAGCCATGAAATGTGTTCCACTTTATCATGCATCTTCTAAATGTCACCGAAGAAATATGACAACAGTCCATCAACGGAATCCTCACACCATAAATGCAGCCATAAAATGAGTCAGAGTTTTTCATTAACATCTGTTGCTTCAGAACAAATATCAAGCAGGCGCATAAACCATGACAACAGTCCATCACAGAATCCTCACACAGTGAGTATAAATGCAGCCATAAAATGAGTCAGATTTATCAACACTTCTTCAGAATATCACTGTAACCATGACAAATTGTATAGTGCCCATCACAGCAATCCATGACAACACACTATAAATGCAGCCATGAAATGCGCCACATTTATCAATACATGACAACAGTCCTCAGAGTATCACCATAAATGCAACCATGATTTTTTCAGCAAAGCACTTCTTCAGATCAGTCCATCACAGAATCCTCACACTATAAATGCAGCCATAAAATGCGTCACATTTATCAACACTTCTTCAGAGTATGGTATGTGTAACATGTTATCAATATATCTTCAGAGTATCACTGTAACCATGACAACAATCTCATCTCGTATATACACAGTCAGTATGTGTAACTGTTATCAATATATCTTGGTATCAGTAACATGAGCCAACATCTGTCAATAAAGGATTACAGTATCACTGTAACCATGGCAACAGTCTCATCTGTGAATGCCCCCAAGGAACATCAATGTAACCATGGCTATCAATACTTGGCAGTGAAAATGGTCGGTATCATGGCAGCTGTCTCTACACTGCTGTACAATACTTTCTTCTCTGACAAGAAACGGACGAAAACTTTCCTGACAAGCACCGGGATCACCATGGTAACTGCTACATACGTCCAGTACTCCACATGAGTGTTTGAGAAAGGAGCCAGCCAGAGTCCTTCCCTGGTGGCATCACGGAAGTGGTGGGAGAGGACTGCAGTCAGGAAGATGAGAGATAACTTCTTCAAGTAGCGGACTTTCAGCACCATCCCAAGAATCCATAATATTGTAGACACCACTGGAATCATTGTGGTCAGATGGAGAGGTGGGCGGTCAGGTAGACTCACTGCTGTCTGTGGACAGATAGAGTATATCAGAGTGTATGATAACATAACACAGACACTGGGATGATGTTGGTCAGATGGAGAGGTGGGCGGTCAGGCAGACGCACTGCTGTCTGTGGATAGATAGAGTATATCAGAGTGTATGATAACATAACACAGACACTGGGATGATGTTGGTAAGATGGAGAGGTGGGCGGTCAGGCAGACGCACTGCTGTCTGTGGATAGATAGAGTATATCAGAGAGTATGATAACATAACACAGACACTGGGATGATGTTGGTCAGATGGAGAGGTGGGCGGTCAGGCAGACGCACTGCTGTCTGTGGATAGATAGAGTATATCAGAGTGTATGATAACATCACACAGGCACTGGGATGATGATGGTCAGGTAGACTCACTGCTGCCTGTGGACAGATAGAGTATATCAGAGTGTATGATAACATGACACAGGCACTGGGATGATGGCGGTAAGGTAGACTCACTGCTGCCTGTGGACAGATAGAGTATATCAGAGTGTATGATAACATAACACAGACACTGGGATGATGGTGGTCAGATGGAGAGGTGGGCGGTCAGGTAGACTCACAGCTACCTGTGGACAAATAGAGTATATCAGAGTGTATGATAACATGACACAGACACTGGGATGATGGTGGTCAGATGGAGAGGTGGCCGGTCAGGTAGACTCACAGCTGTCTGTGGAGAGATAGAGTATATCAGAGTGTACGATAACATGACACAGACACTGGGATGATGGCGGTCAGGTAGACTCACAGCTGCCTGTGGACAGATAGAGTATATCAGAGTGTACGATAACATGACACAGCCGCACACACTGGGATGATGGCGGTCAAGTAGACTCACAGCTGCCTGTGGACAGATAGAGTATATCAGAGTGTATGATAACATGACACAGACACTGGGATGATGGTGGTCAGGTAGACTCACTGCTGCCTGTGGACAGATAGAGTATATCAGAGTGTATGATAACATGACACAGACACTGGGATGATGGTGGTCAGATGGAGAGGTGGGCGGTCAGGTAGACTCACAGCTGCCTGTGGACAGATAGAGTATATCAGAGTGTATGATAACATGACACAGACACTGGGATGATGGCGGTCAGGTAGACTCACACCTGTCTGTGGACAGAGAGTATATCAGAGAGTATGATAACATGACACAGACACTGGGATGATGGTGGTCAGATGGAGAGGTGGGCGGTCAGGTAGACTCACTGCTGTCTGTGGACAGATAGAGTATATCAGAGTGTATGATAACATGACACAGACACTGGGATGATGGTGGTCAGATGGAGAGGTGGGCGGTCAGGTAGACTCACAGCTGCCTGTGGAGAGATAGAGTATATCAGAGAGTATGATAACATGACACAGACACTGGGATGATGGCGGTCAGGTAGACTCACACCTGTCTGTGGACAGAGAGTATATCAGAGAGTATGATAACATGACACAGACACTGGGATGATGGTGGTCAGATGGAGAGGTGGGCGGTCAGGTAGACTCACTGCTGTCTGTGGACAGATAGAGTATATCAGAGAGTATGATAACATGACACAGACACTGGGATGATGGTGGTCAGATGGAGAGGTGGGCGGTCAGGTAGACTCACTGCTGTCTGTGGACAGATAGAGTATATCAGAGAGTATGATAACATGACACAGACACTGGGATGATGGTGGTCTGGGATGATGGGGTAGACTCACAGCTGTCTGTGGACAGATAGAGTTTATCAGAGAGTATGATAACATGACACAGACACTGGGATGATGGTGGTCAGATGGAGAGGTGGGCGGTCAGGTAGACTCATGGCTGCCTGTAGACAGATAGAGTATATCAGAGTGTATGATAACATGACACAGACACTTGGATGATGGCGGTCAGATGGAGAGGTGGGCGGTCAGGTAGACTCACAGCTGCCTGTGGACAGATAGAGTATATCAGAGTGTATGATAACATGACACAGACACTGGGATGATGGTGGTCAGGTAGACTCACTGCTGTCTGTGGACTTGAAAGAATGTTTTCATCGAATCAAATATGTCTTCTCAGCAGACATCTTATTTGAACATTTACCAGGGCACTTCACCAATATGCTATGTACCCTTTAACCATGCTTTGAACTACTTAAGAGAAATACATCTGTATCATAAATTGTAACTATGCGATATAAATGACAAATTGTTTGCTTTTAAATTTGGTGCTGTAACTTTATCTGTTTGTAACTGACTGACTGAGTTTAGTTTTACGCCGCTTTTAGCAATATTCCAGCAACATCACGGCGGGGGACACCAGAAATGGGCTTCACACATTGTGCCCATGTGGGGATTCGAACCCGGGTCTTCGGCGTGACGAGCCACCGCTTTAACCACTAGGCTACCCCACCGCCCCTATCTCTTTGCAAAAATGATGTTATGAAGTAATATCTATTTTGAGAGGTTCCTTTAGACTTTGTTATTGCAGTATGTATCTTGTCCCGATATGGCAGGGAAAATGCAGATGCACTCTTTCTATGCTGGGGTGGTGGGGTAGCCTAGTGGTTGAAATGTTCGCTCGTCACGACGAAGACCCGGGTTCGAATCTCCACATGGGTACAATGTGTGAAGCCCATTTCGGGTGACCCTCGTAGTGATATTGCCGGAATATTGCTAAAAGCGGCGTAAAACCATATGCACTCACTCACTCTTTCTATGCTTACCAATATTTGGCCATCAAATGCAGTATTTCGCTTAATTTAAATGTAGTGCACATTTTAAGCTGCAATATTTCTTTGTTGGTTGATAATCAGCAATAATCCAGCTATATTGCAGGAGTTCGTAGCAGACAATACAGTGATCAACATCATGAGCATCGATCTACGCAATCAGGATATGACGACATGTGACGACAAGTGTCAACCAAGTCAGCTCGATCCTGTTAGTCGTCTCTTACGACAACCATGGATTACCGAATATCAATTCTAACCCAGATCTTCATGAGTACAAGACCAACAAGACAAAAGTGGTGATGTGTATCACTCATTCATTATTGCGAGAACACGGTATATGCTCTAGACAAACATTAAATCTTTCATAGAAATTAACACTCAGTGAGGAAGAATGATTTGTCACTTACATGATTAAATTTTGTCAGGCCTGATTGAAAAGTCCTTGTGTTTACTGAGCAAGTTGCAATTTAATCAGGTTTATAATTGAAGTGAATGAGTGAGTAAGTGAGTGAGTGGTTAGATGCGTGGGTGAGTGAGTGTGACAGTGAGTGAGCCTTTCATCACAGGAATACGTTCGATCAGTATCAGTGAGTGAGTTAAAGTTTATAGTATCTGAAGATGACATCGATCTGGAGTAGAATGGAATCACGAGACATGGAAGGTTTGAACCGGAATAAAAACTGATGATTAATTCTAATCTAACCCAAATCTTCGCAGGTTCAAACTGCGCTTATCAACAAGACGCGTCCGGTTGTTGTTGTCGGTGACTGTGCATCGTCATATACCCACATGCATTACCCATCATTGGATAGTCTGATCCAGGCTAGCAGTTGCTGCAGTTCACAAACAAACAAAACACACAGTATGCTTCTTTTCTGATCACCAATGAGCATTTCATCTGTATTGGATTTAGTTTGTCTGTTGTTCAACACCGCAGTCAGCAATATTCCAGCCATATAGTAGCAATCTGTAAATAATAGAGTCTGTACAATCTCGTTATCAATGCAATTAGCATCCATCTGCAGTACGATGTACAGATGTAAGTAACACGTACAAGATTATTACTGATGTATTTATCTAAACCATGTGAAAATAATTGATGGATTCAATGTTTATATCTCCCAAATGTGTTGTTAACATCAAAGTGATAACTTTATACTAACGGGAAAACCCACGTTCTATAACCTGCTGACAACCAACCAACCTTGATATCGAACGACCCTGCGGCATAAAAATGATCCAGGTCAACACTGACAGCCAGCACGGCACACAGGAGGCAGTTGAGAAGTTTGTAGCGGTCAAAGTTGACATTTTCCACCAACGCCCAGGACCATAAAGCTATCAGCCCATGTGTAGCACTGTCAATACCTGCCCGAGCCCAGAGATGTGTGCTGTAGATGTAAGACAAGCTGTTATCCCCTATCAGACAGGTTGAGAAGAGCACGACTATCAACACCAAAGTGTTCGTTTTACTTATATTGTCATCGAATATCAGGTTTAATGGCGACAGTAGCATTGCATAAACCCGTTTCGTTACTTCATCTGGAGTCATATTTCCTGATTTCTCGTCTGGAATTGGATGCATTGTCGTTTGCACGAAACAACGTCTGAAACATGTGTTTGTTTACAGCGGAAGTGTGTCTCGCGCCACATACACTTCCGGTTGTTAACTCTTCGTATAAAATGAGTCGGATAAACAAAGCGGATTAGGATCGCAGAAAATCAACTGAGCTTGCGATTGCTGTAGAAAACGTAAGACGTACGTCACCGGTAGCGATTAATAAAGTTGGATTACTTGCAAAAATAGATATTTTTGGCCATACAAGGCAAAATGTGTTGGAAAGTAGAAAGTGGAATGCTAAATATTTGCAGAGACCATATAATAGACAAGTGCTGACACGATCATGATGTTAATCTTGCGGCAAAGACAAACACAACACGAGTGGTTATTTGAGGGTGTCAAGTTCAGAATAACCACAGTAATGAGTCGCTGGGGCTTGTGTAATCATATCATGCAATCAGGGACTGTTCATAAATTATGGCCAGGTGTGTGTGTGTGTGTGTGTGTGTGTGTGTGTGTGTTTGTGTGTGTGTGTGTGTGTGCGTGCGTGCGTGCGTGCGTGCGTGCGTGCGTGCGTGCGTGTGTGTGTTGATGATTTCAAGGGGTGTCACTTGGGGGCGGGGGTCATCAATTATGTATATAAACATATTAAAAATTGATGCTTAATCATTACGGGAAGTGTGTGTGTGTTGTGGGGGAGGGGTCATTGAATTTATTCATGACACGTAGGGGTTACTTACTTACTTTGTACATTGTACATAAGTGTTCGGGAGTGTGTGTGTGTGTGTGTGTTGGGGGTGAGTGTGGGGAGTGGGGTGGTTCAATCACACTGTGCATGCTTCTCCATAAAATATCATCATTGATAATTTGTGGGACAGACTTTCTCAGTTACGTACATATTTTAGCCAGCACGCCACGTCATCGGACGCCATTGTGAATGATTGGGCTAGATCGCAGACTTTGTGAGCTGGCAATCAGGTGCATCCCTCCAAATGTGGTTTCAAAGTCCGCGTGGAACATGAACAGAAATAGCTACCATGTATGCTCCATAAACTGAGGAAATGTAACCCTGAATAACTTACATATTATTTTGTCGGTGTTTCCGATAAGACACTGGCGTTTTTAATTCAAATAAGCTACAAATATGACCTTGCATATGAGTCATCAGATTTTACGTGCGCGTCATATGGATTGAAATATTTTATTGAAACTTGTGTGTTCTCTTAAGTGATTCAAATCCACGTGACACTTGCCTGTCTCTCGCTTGTCTACAATATGCGACGAAGCCTCAACCGAATCATACCGCCTCCGTGGTGTAGTGGTTAGAGCGTCCGCCCGGAGAGCCGAAGGTCGAGGGTTCGATCCCCGACCGCGTCATACCAAAAGACGTTAAAATATGGTTCTTGTTGGTCCCTGCCTGGCGCTCGGCATTAATGGGTACAACAAGGACTGGTCGGCTCGGAGTAAGTATATTGTGTCTGAGTGGGGTATTCATGCTTCACTGCGGCATGGTATCTCAGTGGGCTAGCACTATAAAACCAGCTTAAGTGTGGGCTAGTACAAGCAGCCGCACATACACATACACACGCATGCATGTCGTCATATGAGCGAAATATTCTCAAACACGTCAAACCCAATTTCACTTCACCTCACCTCATTCGAATCAGTCCCAATCAGTCATGTCCCAGATGAATTCAGTTTCCCATGATATCCATGCTGTTCATACTCTATTTACTCTTCATAAGCTTCAACTTCAATATTTCAAATGCTTCTTCTTTCAACCAGGGATACTCTACAACCTTATAGAGTCTCCCTGTTTCAACCAACCACCTGCACCGAAAAGGCGTATTTTGCTGAAGTTAGATTTATTGTTCCTGACAAGGACACTGACGCGAACCAAAACCTATAGGTCAAAGTCCGTTTAAGCAAACTGTTGACAAACGTTTATAATTATTTATTACCCACGTGGTCAACGTATGGGTAGTTGGATACTAATCTCGTACGTCACACGAGTGTCATAACGACGTCACCTGAGATTCTAACGATTTGATTGGATAACCGATGACCTCTCAATTAGGTCACGTTGTGACGGAACTACTTGTTCATTCATAACAAACACGTGAATTCATTCATTCTACAACTTAAATGCATTGTGGGAATGTAAACATTGCGAACGTTGCCGTATTGCTGTTTAATTGAGAGTCGACTGAGACATTATATCCGTCGAAAAACATAAACGTAATGTTTCCACCAGTGATGTTAACCAAGTGAAGCAACTGCAAACCAAGACAAGGGGTCCTACGGAGTAGTTTACTGTAGGAGGCGATGACAACTGACATGCATCGTGACGTCGGTTACCAATGGAGCAGACGAGAATGGCGTAGTGACGTCAATACAGTGTGACGTCATGCAAAAGTGAACTACAGAAACATATTCTTCCGCAACTCCTTTATGAAACCGGTTTCGGTTTCAAAACATAACAATAAAAAAGTACGCTGTTTTGTCAATTTAATGCATGTAAGACGTGGGTAATAAATAAAATACCACACTCGGTCTCATTACATACGAATTATACGAAACCGGTGACCTTCCTATGGTTTCTGACCTCGTTTCAGATACCATAGGAAGGACACTCGTTTCGTATAATTCGTAAGTAATGAGAACTCGTGTAGTATTCTCTATGTACCGTCTTCTAAGAAAAACGTTCACCAACCCTGCGTTATATTGTTTTCTTGCAGATTTTCACTGTTTTATAAGTTAATAAATTTGACACTTGTTTGCTGTGTCGTATACAACCACAGTCACCCACTTTCTGTCACGAGTAGATCTAGGCTACACATTTGCGATCTACGACTAAATATTAAATATGTGATTGTACTCGTTGAAATAAACTTAATATTTACATAGGTGTGTGGTTGATAAAATCGCCGTCAAAGTAATTTGGAACCTCTTGAATTGTGTTGTTTTTCATACCGTTTTCTACAGTACTATAATATGGTTCGTATGGGATTCCATTAGGCGTGAGCAGTTTTGTTTCATCCGCACATTAATACAGATCAGCTGATTTAGTTGTAAACACTTACATAAGAAGATGCGGCTTTGAATAAAAAAGTACTGGTTTCTCGGTTTAATTACAGAACGGGTAATATATAGAATAACCCACGAGGTACGAGTGATTACGGGAAACATTAATTTCACTGGGGACATATTTATTCTCCAAATCTCTACTGGCCAATGTGACATCGTCCTGTGCTGGTTGCCGGGTCACGTCGGCATAGCAGGTAATAGAAAAACCGAAGCTGCAGCTCCAGCAGCTCTTAACAAGCCCTTATCTCCACTGCGGATCCCGTACAGTGACTTAAAACCAACTATCAAAAGTTATACTCGCGACCTCATGCAAAAATGGTGGGACACCCAGGTAGGAAAAAATAAGCTTCACGAACTTTCCAAAACACAGAGGGCATTTTACGACGATGTGGCCTTTGCCACAGGCGGTTTACTAACGAGTAGCTGCTAAAAACAGATGAGGTTGTTTCAAGAACAATGGACAGTAAATCTGTTCACCAGCGTGAATGAGCTTATCATTCTTTACTAATTGATATAAACGGGTCTGAATCATGAATTATATATGTGTAACTAATTGAATCATGAATTATATATGTGTAACTAATTGCTTGGGTTTCTTTATTGCTGATGTATTTTTTTTAAATGGCGTGATAGTGTTTTAGTGTATAATACTGTTATGTTAAAGTATATATGAAGAAATTCCTTGATCACTGGATTGTCTGGTCCAGACTCGATTATTTACAGACAGCCGCCATATAGCTGGAATATTGCTGTGTGGCGTTAAACAACAAACCAACCAGCCAGCGTTTTGAATATACCTTTTATTATAATAAATTTGTGTACGCATGTTAATTAATACCCACTCACTGTATGGCTGAAGTAATGCCGATAAGACGTTGAATGTTAGCACACGCACGCATGCACGCATGCACGAACGAGCTCACTCAATATGTTTCAGTTTAACCCTGCATTCAGTTGCTTCGTGTAAATAAGAACAGGCGAACCAGTGACCGACACTGCGTGAGTGAGTGAGTTAAAATTTAACCCCGCATCAGCATTATTTCAGCAATATAGCGATGAGACCAAGTCTACACACATACATTTTTAGTTACAAAAGAACAAAGGAGTTTCTTTAAATGCATATTTCTTTATTACATTATTATTTGCAAATATAAAATCCTCAACAGCGAATTTAGAACCAGCAACCTGTCACACATATACATATACATAGTCACATAGCCATACAGCTGGAATATTGCTGAGTGCGGCGTAAAAACTCACTCACTTACTCACAACTTACGATAGAGATCATTTTCTCTCATGTAGTTAACAATGAGATACCCTCTCACGCGGGAAACATATCATTCAGATATATTGGTTATTAATGCGAATCTCTTGCATTTGAGTCTTCCACACAATCAAGCAGAATGTACAAGCACGGACTTCTCACTGTCATTGCGTGTTGATCCTACAAGCGTATGCGTGTAATCAGTATTTAATATTGAAGAACTTTCAAGTCATCCTTTGTATTTACTCTATGTACGAGAGATATGCCAAAGTGTGCGTGTGGAGATAGCTTTGTTATCACTATGTTCTTTATCAATATGAAGTACGTGTATGGGAAAGGACTTGGACTGTATACACGCTATAACACAAGCTTATAAACCTCCAAAACATGCAAATTAATAACGTTATATTATGCCACCCGTATCACACGAATTATCCATACAAGATAAACTAAACAAAATAACAATCATCAGAAGTAAATGTCTTATATCCGTAAAGATTTCTGCTTTTGTTGAATATAACATTGTACTCGTACGATGTGGCAGTCTTCAAACGCACGGCAGCTGAAACGCGCTGAAATGTACAAGCACGAACTTCTTACTGTCATTGCGTGTTGATCCTACAAGCGTATGCGTGCAACCACTATTCAATACTGTAAAACTTTGAAGTCATCTTTTGTATTTACTTTATGTATGAGGGATATTTGTGGGGTA